CTCCCGGCTCGGCGGGGAGCCTGCTTCTCCCTCTGACTCTCTCCTCTCTCATGCTGTTTCTCTCTCGCTCGCTCTCTAATAAATAAATAAATAAAATCTTTAAAATAAATAAATAAATAAAGTGCTGCAAGGGTATTTTTAAAACATGAAGAACAAGTCTAAGCTTAGGCTCCATATTTGCCAACTATAGTATTTCATTAACTTACGGTAAACACAGTATAAATGATCCTTAGGGTACGCACATTTTACTGAGAAGCATTTATTTCTTACTTCATAAAGTCTCATCCTTATACATGAGATTATTAGTTACTTTTTAAAGAGTATATGAGGATAAAAGGGGGGAGGATGTTGATAAGTTTAATTAAATGGAGTAATTGCTTTAACACACAAGAGTAAAGGAAGACGGATACCAAAATTAGATTAGACTAACTTAGAAAAGAATACCTAGTAGGGGTGAAGGAAAGAAAAGAAAGGGGGAAGGTATGGTTCTCTTTATTATTTGTATAAAAAAACCAAAAAAGTAATAATTTTTTCATTAGATAATACATATATATTTACTTTTCAGGCTATATCTGGAATGCTTTGAGATAATAGCAAATAATGTTCAAAATTTAAAATTACCTTCTAAATCCTACAAAAATATTCAAGTAAATTAAACATAGGGGCAATAAGGAAGTATACTTTTAAAAAAAAAAGCACAGTAGAGGGGGACTAGCTACATCAAATAGCCTCAATTCACTGTATATTTATCTGAAGTGGTAAAAATTAAAAATTAAAAATATCCTAAGTGTCCGATATTAGAGAATAATAAACTGTGGAACAATACCATTCATATCAAGCAGTCATAGAAAGTGTAACTGTAAATACCATGTTTAAAAAAAAGACGTTTATGTGGCGCCTGGGTGGCTCAGTAGTTAAGCGTCCGCCTTCGGCTTGGGTCATGATCCCGGGGTCCTGGGATGGAGCCCCGCATCGGGCTCCCTGCTCAGTGGGAAGCCTGCTTCTCCCTCTCCCTCTCCCCCTGCTTGTGTTCCCTCTCTCGCT